TGTACCGTGTTATATGTATATAGGCAGATGGGGTTCTTTCTTTCAATGGTGTTGTTTTGAAAGGGTTGTATTGTACCGTGTTATATGGTCTTCGTTTCCATGGTAGTTTTGTGGTTCGTTGTGGTTAGGGAAAGGGGTTCGGTCCCCTTCGTCTTTCCATCCCGCTCCTCTATAAATAAAGCAGAAAATGGGATGACATGGAAATGAGAGTGTATATGTAGGTGTGGGGAGGTGGTGGACGTGCACCTTGGGGTGCGAAAGGAACTGATGCAATGGTTTGCGATTTGGTGTGGATGTCGTTGTTTGTTATCCTGTGGGACTGTTGCTCTTGCGTGGTTTGGATGCATCAAAAATGCCTTCCAGCGCGGTTATCACATTAGACGCATAGGTTTCCCGTGCGAGTGCGACCCACGGGTTGTTGTCCTATCCTTGGTTCGCCAGAGTTTCGCGAGTAGACCAAAAAGTCTTGGTACGTCGTTGGTTGACTATGGTAGGCGGTCTTACTGCGCTTTTGCGGAGGGGATCGTTTTTCTGCATGGTTGGGACGCAAATATGGATGTTGGGCACGTGGGCAATGGTCAACGCCCTTTGCGGTCCGGGCCTTGGTGGGAAGCGCTTATGCTTCACAGGTCTTGCGATGATATCTCGCACGCTCCGCACGTGTTTCCGGACCACCTTCGGTTGCGGAGCGGTTCGTGCAATGATAGTGTAGATGCACGTGCGCAAGCCACTGGGGGCTTAGGGACGACGGTCCACGATATCCCGGAGGCGGGAGATTTGGTTTGGGTGGAAGGTGCGCACGGCGGTCGATGGACTGCTGTGGGCAATGGTCATTCCCGTGAGTCGGAGTCTTTGCCCTTCGATGCATCTGCGGCTGCGAATTTCCTGCCACAGGGTGGGTACGGGGTAGCTGGTCGTTCAACGGCACGTTCACGGGTCAATGCACAGACGTCGACGTTCACTACGCCTAGCTGCGGTCTTCAAGGCATTGCGCCGCGAAGTGGTGATCTTTCACCGCAGCCCGTGGCGGAACTCTTCTCCGCGCATGTTTCCGAAAGACCTGGGGGTTGGGCCGGGAAGCCGAAGAGGAGACGGTGTGAAATGCCGGTTACGGCGCCCGCTGCGGACGGTCGTAACAGAATGGATCGTACAGTGGCGCGAGCTTCGGTTGCACCAAATCCCGTTGATGCGATGGCGCGTCGTACGTGGGTTGGTGGTCCGTTGTGTCAGGCAGCTTATGAGGATATCACCAACTGCTCGACTCCTCGGTTTTCTCCAGAGTTCTTATTTTTACATTCGCTCCTTTTTTTTTCGGACACATCGTTGACGCCGGGTTCGGGATCGCGGGGCTCTCCCGTGGCCGGTAGGAACCTTCTTGCCCGCGATCGACGTTGCGCGGCGTTCGATGTGATTACGATGGCCGAAAAAAACACGTTGTCCTTGGGTAGCGGTGCGCGAAATCCGAGTATTCGATGGGGTGAACATGAGCGCACGGTTTGCAGATGTGCACCGGGTGATTGGCGTGCCGCGGGGGTGTGTGACATGGGGAGCTGTCTGCCCCGCGATGATACCTGTTTCGTAGACGAACGGGGGCACGAATGGCGGTTGAACGAGTGCACAGGCCGGACAGGAGGACAGCGGGGCGCCGCGCCTGAAGCGCGGAGGAGTTTGGTGGTCGCCACGGTTGGCTTGAGGGGGAGTCTCTCGGGGCTGTGGTTCCTCTGGGTTGCTCGGTTTCGTGCCCCGGTACGGGTAACGTGGCTTTTGAACGAGGGGAGGGCTGCAGAGTAGCTCCGGATGTTGATTCAACGTTGTTTGGAGACAAACACGTGTTTCAGCTTCCACTGGAAGTGGAGCGGGAGCCCTCGTGTGTGCCGCAAAGTGTGCGAGGTGCTTGCTCTACGACTCGCAGCTCCGACCGGCTCGATGCGGAGGGGCGGTTTGCGGCTGCGGAAGCCGGGGTGGAAGGGGGGTTGTCCCGACTTCTCCGGAAGCGCAATGCGGGATTGTCACGACGACAGCGCAGTCTTATATCTCAGCTGGCCAGAGTGATTCCGCCGGCTTCTGCGTGCGTCGTGCGGAGTTCGGCCGATGGTCCCGTGGGTGGTGATAGCACGGGTCGGTCGGTTGGGTGGGGGTCGGCATCGAGCGTGGCGATTGCTTGTGCGGCACGTCGGTTGAGAGTGTCGAGGCGACGGAAGCGCAGGGCGTCGGCACGTGCCGGGGGCAGCAGCGGCGAGCCCCTGAGGTTTCTCGATGCGCCTGC